TATTATATTTATAAAAGACTAATATGCAAATCGACCCAATGGCAGAGCGACCAGTAGCTATGATGCTCACTGATCATCAGGGGACAGACGCTCAGCACAGAAGCTACCCCTGGTGGTCACTGTGCTCCCACAGAGGGAGCGCCGCTCAGCCAGAGGCTGGGTTCACTGCTGGCGAGCACAGTGGCAGTGGTAGGCGCCTCTCCTGCCTCTGAGGTAGTGCTAAGGACCCTTTGGGGGATCCCAGACTGCGAGAGGGCACAGGCCAGGCTGAGAGACGCCCCCACCCCTCAGGGCATGAATGTTGCGTATCAGACTTCCAGTGTGTGTGTGTCTGTATTAGTCCTTTTAACATATTTTGCAATGCTCACTTGGTGGTAATAAACTCCTTTAGCATTGTTTTTGTCTGGGAACTCCTTTATTTCACTATATATTTTTGAATGATAGCCTTTCTGGATGGTCTTAGTTTCAGATCTTTGCTTGATATTACCTTGAATAATTTATACCATTCCCACTGACCTGTAGAGTTTCTGATGATAAATCAGATGGCAGCCATATGGGAGCTCCTTGCTGTGTTCTCTCCTCATATGGCCTTTCTTCAGTGAGCGCATGCTCGTTCCTCAGTGCATTCATGATGATGGTGGTTGGTAGTGGAGGCACTCTAATGTCTCATAAGGACACTAATCCTATTTCATCAGGGTCCCATCCTTCTGATCTCATTTAACCTCAATTACTGCCTTACAGGCTACATTTCCAAGAACATGTTAATATCTGCATTCTGGTTTAGGTTCCTTCCATTTCCTAGTTGGTTTTAATAATTTGCTTAGGAGTATGGGAAGAGTATGCAACACATTACTGTGATTTTTGACTTGGAACTATAGAAAGTTTAGAGAAATGTTGCTCTACATAATCCCTGCTAACCTATTCCCAGCCCCCTATTCAGTCTCTTTTCCTTAGTCAGTCTCATTAGTTTTTCATTTATCTTTTCTGTATTTCTTTCACATAAATGAACATATTTTTTATGACTTTTTTTCTTATATGAAGGGCAGCATGCTGTAGCCTCTTTTGTACTTTGCTTTTTTTCATTTTACAGTATATCTTGGAGAATTATTACATATCAGCTCTTAGAGCTCTTCCTCATTCTTACAAGTACTTAGTATTCTACTGTGTAGACATACCATGGATTTTTCAACCACTCTCCTATCAATGGGCATTGGAGCTGTTTTCAATACTTTGCAAAAATAAAATTGTAATAAACTTATATATATATATATTTTTTTTTTCATATTGTTGGAGGCATGTCTTAAAAATACGATTGGTGGTCTTATTAGTTGAAAGATAAATACACTGCTTTGTTAGACATTGCCTAATTTCCTTCCAAAAGGATGTACCAAATTGTATTCTCATAGCAGTGTCCTCACAGCCTTGCAAACACAATGTGTTGTCATGTTCTCAAATCTTTTCCAGCTGACTGAGAAATGGCATCTGATGAATACCATTTATCCAATTTTTAACTTGCATTTATGCAATTTTGAATTCATTTTAAACATTTTCATGCTTGAAGACCATTTTTATACCTTTTATGATGAATTATCTGTTCATGTATTTTTCTCATTTTTCTGTTGGGTTTTCAGTCCTTTTCCCTTCCTTATACTTTTAACAAAATCACTTGGCTATCTTGGTTGAGGCAAATTTTGGGTGTGGATGATGATTGGAAGCTGGTCTGTGTTAACCTGGAGATACCCACTAGACTTTTAAGTGGAAATGTCAAGAAGGCTGTTGGAAATACAATGTTGGGAGTTCCCAGATATAGATGGCATTTTGATCCATGTGAACCAGATGAGATCAACACACGAGTGAGTACAGATGTAAAATAAACTCCAACATTACCAAGATCATGGAAAAGGGAAGGAACCAGCTAGAGATTAAGAAGGACCAATATGGTAGAAGGAAAACAAGAATTTGGTGTCACAGAAACAGAGCAAAGAACAAATAAATTTCAAAGACAGTCTGATAAAGTGTCAATTGACCATACGATAGCAATTGTTAGAGACTTTGAGGGGGGGAAAAAGCTTTAGTGGAGTGGTAAAGATAAAACCCAATTTAAGTGAAATTCAGAATGAGGAATAGGAGTTTGAGACCATCAGCATATTTAGGGAATTTTGTTGTAAAGTATTCAAGCCACATTTTGGATTATAAAGTACAATGGAAAGAATTATGAGTGCTTGAGGATTTCATGAGCAGCAAAACTGTAATAAAGCAGCAGAAAACTCAAAAAGGAGAAAGTAGGCTAAAACAAATGAGTTAAATAAAAAGAAGAAATCAAATGGAAAGTGGATGCAATGTCCTTAGGATAATTTAATTTTTTTTTTTAATGAATACTGATATATTAGTCAGGAACTATTCAAGATATAATTATAATTCATTTAATATTCTCTTCTTCTAATCCTCAAAATTCATTTCATTGGGTTTTTTTTCCTCCAATTTTTAAATGTACTCAGACATTAGATGAGCCCACAGTTTTATTGTATTTATCCTATCCTCCTAAGGGATGCTTATCCATATTTATGACTTTCATTAATATTTATTTACTGATAGCCTTTAATATCTACTAATATTTTTAGTTTAGTGGGAATATAAAGTTCCAACTTTTAATACTTTAGCTTACTGTATTTTCTATAACATACATGTGTTGCTTCTTTAATAAAAAAATGTATTTTTTTTAAAAGGAAGTAATGACTCATGAAACTATGTCCTCTCTGATAGATAAATTAAGATGATGAATTAAGAAGACTGACAATTGATCACTAGACCTAGCTACATGGAAGTCACTGGTGTCCTTGACAAGATCCATTTTAACACAACCTGACTGGAATAGTTTGGTGGTTCCTCCAAATGTTAAAAGTTAGGATATGATCTAGTAATTACTCTCTCAGATATCCGAGAGAACTGAAAATTTATGTCCACACAAAAACTTCTACCCAAAATTTCATGGCAACATAACATCCTAGTAGCTAAAAGTGTAAACAATCCAAATATCCGTGAGGAAGTAAACAAAGTATGGTATATATCTATACAATGAAATATTACTCAGCAATTTAAAAAATTAAGCACTGCTCTAGCTGGGTGGCCTGGTTGGCTGGAGTGACATCCTGTAAACCAAAAGGTTGTAGGTTCAATTCTCAGTCAGGGCACATAATTAGATTGGGCATGTACAGAAGGCAATCCATGTTTCTCTTTCACATCGATGTCTCTCTCTCTTCCTCTCTCTAAAATCAGTACATATATCTTTGAGGATTTTTTTTTAATCTAAACAAAGAATTTAAAAAATTAAGTACTAAAGCATGCTAGAGAATAGATGAACCTTGACATTAGCTGAGAGAAATAAACCAGTCACTAAATAAAATATTTTGAATGATTCATTCCATGTATATGAAATGTCCAGAACAAGCAAATCTATAGAGATAAGGAAGTGTGTTCATTGTTGCTAAGGCTGGAGGAAGGGGGTTCTGGGAAGTGATTGCTAATTCATATGAGGTTTAGGGTGGGGGCATGTGGCAGTGATGAAAATATTCTAAAATTAGATGTCTATGTTGCAAACTGTGAATATAGTAAAAGCCACTGAAGCATATACTTTAAAAGAGTGAATTTTATGATACATAAATTATCTCAATAGAACTATTACAAAAAATAAAAGGAAGGAGAATCTAGTTGATGATCACTTTGTATTTGTTCTGATCTACCACCAAAATTTAACAGCCGTTAGTGGAGAATCTAAGAATTGAACTCACAACCTAGTTATGTATCCTGATTGTGAATATTTGAAGAGAATATTAAATGCATTATATTATATCTTGAATAGTTCCTGACTAATATATGAGTATCTTCTGTTTTCTATTTTGTCAATGTACAGGTTTTATTTTACCTTACTTCTAGGGATTTATTTATCATTTTTTAAATAACATTTTCTTCTTTCTCCCTTATCCCTCAAAGATAACCAAACAAAGATAACCAGATAGAAAACTGTTTGACTCTTTTAAGAAAAACCACATTTTACATTTTAAAAAAGTATTAAATGTGGCCATTGTTCACATTTACTTTTCACACAGTCCAAGTTACATATTTCAAAAAAGCAGCATTTGCTTAGAAATAATGACACATCATGTTAAGCAAACAATACATTATATAGCCTGAATTCTAAAAAGTTTGGATTATGTAAAACTATTTTGTAAAAGTTACAAAACAGGTATCCCTCAGTCTTGGAAAAAAAAAAAAAAAGTTGTAGCCAAAACCGGTTTGGCTCAGTGGTAGAGCGTCGGTCTGCGGACTGAAAGGTCCCAGGTTCGATTCCGGTCAGGGGCATGTACGTTGGTTGCGGGCACATCCCTGGTAGGGGGTGTGCAAGAGGCAGCTGGTCGATGTTTCTCTCTCATCGATGTTTCTAGCTCTCTCTCTCCCTTTCTCTCTGTAAAAAATCAATAAAAATATATTTTAAAAAAAAAAGTTGTAATTTTTAAATAATGCTGCTATATTTTTTCATGATTTAAAACAAATTTACAGTGGTAAGCAGAAGATATCATCATTTCATGGGTAAAGAAACTAAGTGAGTACATACACAAGCCCAGTGGCAAAACTAAGTAAGTTTTGGAACTGATTTTCTCTATTGGATTGTATAATTTCAATAGTATACCTTAGCAATTTAACTAAAGATACAAACAATAATAAAAATCCTGCACAATTATTCAAATTTTGGGAATTCTAGTTAAAAATAACAAAACAAAAACATTAGGCAAATTTTCCTTCCAAAAAGAAGAATAAAAATTTAGATAACCCATGAACATTATTGAAGTTACATGTGAATCAATCTTTTCTGCATTCCTTAAACAAAATTTTATAGTCACCTGATGAAAAACCAAACTTCATATTCAATGACACTTTCAGAATGTATCTATAGTTAACTTAATGCAAAAACGTCTGGTAAAAACAGAGCTAATTCACGGAAGTCTTTAAGTATGGCAACATTTTATTATTTTTGGTGCATCTTCTTACGCATTTCTTCAAGGGCTGCTTCTTTCTCTCTCAGCATCTGTTTAAGTCTTCTTATTTTTTCATCTCGAATGGTTTCTTCTAACTCCGGTGGTCTCATGGGAAAAATATCTTCAGTATAATTTCTGGTAAAGGAATGGCTTTGTCCAAAATCTGCATGTGAACTCAAAGCGACTTTCTCCTGGTTTTCACTGGTACAGTGTTCTACTTCAGTTCTTTCTTCTCTGGTTTTATTGCAATTTGTGATAATACTATGATGTGATACATCTGAAGCTGGTAAAATACAGCTAATTCCTCCATTTATAGCTGTGTTATAAGCACTCTCGATTTTTCTCTTCTTTGCACGATCCATCTTCTTCACGGTTTTTGCTTTTCTTTTCTTATCAAAACCCTGTTGCAATGTTGAGTACTATTCCAATGGAAAAGCAAATTATTAGTGCCATATATAGAGTGTGCTCTGAAATTTAACAAGTTTGAAGATACAAATATACAGCAATTAAATTCAACTCAACAAAATATACTGAGAACAACTACAGCAAGAGATTAATATTTATGGTACCAAAAAACCAGCAATATCTTAATGATTTTCATTGAGAATCAATTGCTGAATTCACATTTTCCTTATATTAAGTATTGGAATCTATACTGATCTACCACCAAAATATAACAGCCATTTGTGAAGAACCTGAGAATTAACTTACATTTTTCCCCCTTGCATGGTAGGCACATACTAAAGACTTTCATTGGAAAAGATAGAATGATCTCTGATCTTATAAGTAGAATGACAGTAGGCAAAGTTACGGGGATGCTTCTTTTTATCATCATTGATCATGAAGATTTCTTAAGATGTTAGTAGTAAGAGTAATATTGTAATAAACATCTGCATGCTTATACTTTCCCTAAACTTGGATTATTTATTGTAGACAGGGTCTTCAAAGTAGTATAATTAAAAGCTATGGCCATTTTCTTATAACTTTATGATGAAAAATAAACAGTAGGTGAATAAAAACACTCGAAACATCATCATTAATTAATCATGGATGCATTTTTACCTATACATATATAGTTCTTTTTAACACCATTTTGGTATAATATAAATATATGCCAAGTTGGTAACTATTATTTATATTAATACATAAAAAAATTAATACAGCCGAAACTGGTTTGGCTCAGTGGATAGAGCATCGGCCTGTGGTCTGAAAGGTCCCAGGTACAATTCCGGTCAAGGGCATGTACCTTGGTTGTGGGCACATCCCCAGTAGGGGATGTGCAAGAGGCAGCTGACTGATGATTCTCTCTCATGTATGTTTCTAACTCTCTATCCCTCTCCCTTCCTCTCTCTGTAAAAAAATCAATAAAAAAAAATATATATATATATATATATATTTTTTTTTTTTTTAATTAATACACTCATGTCTCTGTGGAGTACCTACAAAGAATATTTTAAAATCTATTACCTGTTTTTTCTCTTCCTCCTTCACTGTAAACTTTGTCTCTTTGTCACTCTTCACCAAATTCCTAAAGGAATCAAAATCTCCAGCACCCAAATGGTCAGGAATCCGAGTAAGTCTTATTCTCAAATCTTTAGTGAGACCAAACAGCTTTTTAAATTCAGCATCAGTCTTCAGATGTGCCTTACTGCTGCTCCCTTGAGAATTTTTCTTGTCATTTCTTTCTTGAGCATCTTTTTGTAATGTTGATGCCATCTCATTCTGGATCTGAAATTAGGAAAAGAAAACACACAAACAATACTACCCATTACTTAAGCTATTTTAACAGACTGGTAACTAAGTGATTTCCTCATCTTACTTCAAGCATGCTTTAAAGTCCTAAATGATTGGTTTGCATTATCCTTGCCTTACCACCCACTGCACTGAACTGAGTCAAATAATGTTTCCATGCAATTTCTTATTTATTTCACTTTTTTGCACTAGAAAGGTTAAATTCTCAAACAACTGAAATGAGAACACACACTAATGACAAGTTAAAATAATCTAAGTGACATTAATTAGAAATTGTAGTAGTCTGAAAAAGTCTTATGCCTTTAACCAATCTTATAGTCAAATCAGAATTTACTTCCTTATCTCTCTCGAGTTCAATAAATTCTGTACTGAAAAAGAAACACTGACATTAAGTAGATCTCCAAGTAAGAAAAAAGTGGGTACAAATATTTAATGAGCACAGAAACACACATCTTAAGTAGAACAGAAAGATTCCTATGTGGATATGTTGGATCATTGGATGCAGAGTCAAAAAGTAGGGCTAAAAAAAAGGGGGAAATTTATCTACTAAAAAAATAATTCAATCGAAGATGTTGATAAATCCTATTTCCACAAATGACTTAAAAGGTAGTGTATGGCCCTGTCCTACTCCTTACCCCTTCCACTATCTAGCTTTAAAAATATTGACACATATACCACCACAAAACAAACTCCCAGCTCTATATGCATAATATTGATCTCATTACTAAAAAGTAAGCTATTAAATATATATGTATACATGCATATGTAGAAATGTGTACAAATGTATGCATGTATGCACACATAATTTTACTAAGCTTTTAATTCATATTATCCTTTCCCAACTCTTCTAAACCCTGTTGCTCTGTGATTTTGTTTTGACTTTGTTTTAAAGACAAAGATACCGCGTGGTTTCTCTCTCAATTATATTCCTCCTCAAACATTTCCTTTGGATAAAAGCTTTGACTTAGCATTCACATGTGTATGGTGTGTGTGATGAAGTGAAGGATGGGAGAAGAGGGGAGAAAGATATTATAGAGAACTTTTGAGAATGAAAAAAGAAAACTTTTCTATACAAATAAAAAGATCACCCTGACATGGGAAAATTACCTTTGGTTCTTGGTCTCTGAAAACACACTGTTGTGAAGGAATACTTGTTGCACCAACAGAGGAATTTATTTTCTCTATGTTTTGGATGATATTTTCTTTTGGGGGGGCATTTTGTCCTGTACTAAGTCCATGTGGAAAGTCTGCCTTTAGGAATAAAGTCTTACTCTGTTTTAAGTAGTTAATGGATGGGTTCGTATTATTTGGATGTAGGATAGAAAGAGATGGTGTCTCCACTTTTTTATTCTTCTCTGCCCTTAGATTGGCCATGGAAGCAAGCTGGGTATTTGAAAATGACTTTGTCTCCATCTGAGAAGATTTATTTTTAGCCAAAACAAAGTTTACAACCTCTCTGGATAGTTCTGTTACTGGACTTGAACTCACTATCTGTGATATATCTTTTCTTGGTGGAATATCAGGAGAAACAGAATTCTGTTGATCAATTTGTGATGACAAAACATCTGTCCCCTTTTTAGCCAACAGATAGATTTTCCCATTACACATAACCAACGCGTTATCTTTAATAGGCATACTTTTGGACTGTGCCCCACTAGGACTGCTGGTACTCAATTGTGGCATCTTTATAGTATTACCTCCCACACTTTTCTTTTCTACAAAACTTTTTAAAATCTGTGAAGCCACATTATTTGAAGACTTAACAGGAACAAGAGATGGAGTACAAGGCTGTCGATTGTCTTGAAAAATCCATTTCACTGGAGCAGCTTGAGAATGCTGACCACCTTTTAATTGTGTCTCTTGTGCAACATTCATTGGAATTTGTGTGGCATTTAGTATCACTGGCTTGGCTATTTCTGTAACAGGTTTTGGATAAATGTGTTGCAAGTTCTTGGTAGCTACATTTTTCACTGTTTTTACAGGAGATACGTAAATAACAGAAGGTATTTGGGAGGCCTCAACTGTTCCTGAGGAGCTTGTGGTTGCAGTTGGAAGTATCTTTTGCTGAACTGAAGGAGGTAATGATGTCGCTGGTACAGATTTCACTTCAGCATGGGCTGGAATCTGTAAATGATGCCCAGAAGGCAAAACTGGAGGTTTCACAGTCATTGGAAGGCTCTGAGTATTTACTAAAATATAAGATGAATCTTTTTGTGTTGAGGAGGAAGTGACAGCCAATGTTTGCATGGGGAGTCCATCAATTTTCACACCATGACTCTGAACTTTAGAAATTGATGAGGTAAAGGTCTCAGTTCCCACAGTAGTAACTCTAACTTTTTCTGCTGTATCTACTGTTCTTGTAAGTAAATAGTTTGGAGAACTGGCTGGCTGAAAAATGGGCAATTGAGCTGTTGATGAACTTGTGGAAGAGCTGGAAATCTGAGTCTGAAAAGTAACTTGAACTGGGCTTCCTGTATTCCCTTTCAAAGCATCAGACATAACTGAAGATTGAACTAGTGGTACAAGATTTCCAGAGAAATTAGGAATTGGAAGTAATTGCAGGAGATTTTTTCCATCCGAGCCAATCGTCTGAACTACTTGGTACATGCAGCCTGAAACACTTAAAAGAATACGAGTAATAAATACAACATACTTCATGATACATACATTTTATTTAAAACCAAATTATTTTCAAATATTTTCAAATATTTATATATAAAATATAATGAAAGTATATCATTTGTCACTTTGATTTTTCAAAGTGAAATATTACAAAGTAAAAGTTTTGAAGAAAAAAAGTCAAAGAAATGATCACAACCTTTAGATTTCACATTAGGCAATACTTATATTAGATAGGAACATTTACTCTAAAACTGTATTTCCTACTGTTTCACCCTATATAAAGTTATGTTTACTACTAAAATATGCTCCTCTTAAACTATTGGCATCCTCCCTCCTCCTTTTCCTTGAATTCTTTCCTTTTGTCCGCCTTTTATTGACTAGAATTCTCATTTCACTACCATTTATGCTTATCCTATTTCCCTCACTCTTCCCAACCCAATCTGTTGTATTCTTCCCACTGACAATGACTTCCAAGTTCTACTGTTAGCCATTCTTCTTTTGCTAAGGCATCTCTTATGGTAATACCTTGGTGTGCCACATTTTCAGAGACTAAGCTGAGTTACTCTTGTGGGAACCATTTTCTTCTTTGATTTATTGGCTCAGCACATCTAAAATTTGGTGCTAAGCAGTCCTTAGTATGACAATTACTCATATTAGTTCCAATTGCCTACCAGTTCATATATAACTGAAATGTCATTTTAGCTGAATGGTTTTCAATGAACATGAAACACATTAAAAGTAACTTTTTACAAATTTTTTTATTTACTTATTTTAGTAATATTTTTTCATCTAACCAATTTTGATCTGGATAATTATGAGCTGTTTTTTAGTTCAGATTGTAACATTTTTAAAAAATCCCATATCAATCGCTGTATAATCAATTATTTGTAGATTTCTTAAATGTAGGCTCCTCAATCTATTTAGATCTAAAACTACCTTTCAGTTCCTGAAAAATACTAAGACCTCATGGAACTCAAAGCCATCACACATACTGTTTCTCAACCTAGATACTCCTCTCCTACCCACATAACTCAGATCTCAGCATGAGTGATCTTCCCAAGCATCTGTCCACCTTAATTACCCTTTCCCTCCTTCACAGTCTACAATACTACCCCTGCTGATTTCCTTCATGGTACTTATTACAAGTTGTCATTAAGTCTTAATTAATCTCATGCTCAATTCTAGCAACATGAGTACAGATCCATGTCCTATAAAACTAGTATGCCCTTATATGATTAGGATCAAATAAAGAAAAAAATGTAAGGGCAAAAGAGTTCTCAAAAGTGTAAAGCTGTGTATTACTGCATGTACTAGTATGTTTTTAAACCTCAGGTATTAACTAAAAGGAAAGCCAAAATTGTATGCAGCCTAGAAAGCACTGGCTCAGTTTTATCTTTCTCTAACCCAAAATAACATAACTGCAGCTTACAAATATTTAAAACAGCTTTCTGGCTACTTGATATTGCTTCAATAGGTTATATTTACTTTTATTAAGTGAAAAGTTAATCTCTAAAGAGAAGCACAAACATAAAGTATAAGTTGTTGCATTCAGGGCTTGAAGAGGAAAACCTTACTTTCCCACCTCCAAAAGTACATATAAACTGGATAAAAACCTAATGCCTATTAAGGTTCAGGCACCAGCCTCAGTTTTAGAGAAAGGGTCAGTAAAATAGCCTTTGGACCCCTGATTTTATATAGTCCACAAGCTAAGAATGGTTTTTAAATTACGATTTTTTAAAAACTCTCAATATTTTATAATGTGAAAATTTTATGAGATTCAAATTTCGTGGTCCATAAAGTTTTATTAGTACGCAGATGCACTCATTTTTTTTTCCATGTACTGTATATGGCTGCTTTCCTGCTGCAACAGAATTTAGTAGTCATATGGCCTGCAAAGCCTAAAATACTTAATATCTGGCCCTTCACAGAAAATGTTTACTTGCCTCCAATCTAGTTCATACCACAATCCCTATGAGAACTTAAACTTCCTGGTTTATAGACATGTAACTACCCTGTTTCCCCGAAAATAAGACAGTGTCTTATATTAATTTTTGCTCCCAAAGATGTGCTAGGTCTTATTTTCAGGGAATGTCTTATTTTTCCATGAAGAAGAATACGGTACACATTTATTGTTAAATAAAAATAAAGGAAATTTATTACCTGTATATGCTATGGTAGAATGGTAGTTGTCAACACAAACCAGACAAATTGTGAATCCTACAGTATCAAGAATTTACTCATTTATTCAATGACAATCATGTCATCATATTCTGGAACATCATCATAACAATCCAATTCCTGAATTTCCTGGTGAATTTCTTGTGACTCCATTTCTTTCAGAATCAGTGGACCAAATCTCTCATGTTTAGCCTAGAGGAGGTCTTATTTTCGGGGAGGGGGGTGCCTTATATTTCACTCAGAAGGAAACCTGTAAGTAGGTCTTATTTTCAGAGGATGTCTTATTTTCGGGGAAACACGGTAGATGAGTAGAATTAGGTAAATGATGTATTTGGATGAGTATAAAAATGCCTGCTGCACCTTTTCTTAAAACATTCTCTTCCCAAGGCTTCCTAGATATGACACTCTCCTACTTGTGTAGTGACTTCTTTGGTCTTCTTTGCTAATTCATCCTACTTGAATCAACCTTCAAATGTTGGAATTCACCAAAGCTTAAACTGAATTCTTTCTACTCTGTAAGATTTCCCTAGATGACTTCTTTTACATGTATGGCTTCAGTTAAATTACCATTTATATATCAACAAATCAAATATTCATACCTTAGCTCTTTTGAAATTCAGACTTAATATCCACCTTCCCTCATGACATTTCCATTCAGAATCTCAAATGTACCTAGAACTCAACATGGCCTTTTCCAATGTCTCCCTCTGCCCTTTTTGGTAAATAGTATCCATTTACCTTATATGTTAAAGTCAGACCAACTAATTCCTGCTTTCTTTCCATCTATGTTCAATTATGAAATCCTGTTGCTATTATCTTCTCTATCTCCCTTGATCTTCATTTCTTTTCAAATTAACTTTCTTCGCTCTAGTCCAAGCAAATATAATCTCTGGCCTCGACTATGATAGTAGCTTCATAACTGGTCCTTTCTTCAGTCAAATAAGCAGTCCCTTCCCTGCTCAAAACATTTCAAAAGCTTCCCACTTTCCTTAAGGAGTAGAAAAAAGAAAAAAAAAACTAACTAAAAAAAAAAACACACCAAAACACAAAGAGAGTTTGATGCAATGGAAGCCAAAGGAAGAATTTCAAGAACATTGGGGAATTCTTACTTGGAGAGGCCAAGTAGGATACAGATTAAAAATGTACACTGGAGCCCTAATTGGTTTGGCTCAGTGGATGGAGTGTCAACATATCAAAGGGTCCCTGGTTTGATTCCCGTCAAAGGCATGTATTTAGGTGGCAGACTTGATCTCTGGCCAATCAATCAATCGATGTGTCTCTCTCCCAACAATGTTTTTCTCTCCCCCTCCCTCCTTCTACTCTAAAAATCAATAGGAAAATATCCTCAGGAGAGAATTAACAAAAATAGAAAAGAAAGAAGCAAGCAAGAAAAGCAAGGGGGGGGGGGGAGAGAAGGAAGAAAAGAAGGAAAGAAGAAAAGGAGGGAGAGAGAAAAGAAACAAACTTAAAAAAAAAAAAGGATATTTTAAAAAAGTACACTGGAATGAATGACGTGTCACTGATGGCCTTAAAAGAGCACGTTAGTGGAGAGCAAAGTTGCTGAGGCGTGAATAGGAAGAAAAAATGGAGATAGCAAGTATAGACAACTCTCTTATGAACTTTGACTACAAAAGGGAAGAGAAAGACTGAAAACAGCTGAAGGCTAAAAACAGGGTCAAAGAAGACATCTTTTTAAAAAAGCTTAGATGAACCAGAGCATGTGTAAATGCTCAAGTGAGTCATCAAGAGGAAAAGACTGTTACTAAAAGAAGAACGCAGGATAATTAAGTACAAGGATTGGTGAGGAGATAGAAAATGGGAACCAGAGGACAGGGTGGAGGGACTGAACCTTAGAGAGAGCTGGAGAAACATCTCCTTCCACTGGAACTGAAGAAAGGTTAGGTGCACTTTCAGGCAAGTTTATAGCTTTGGGGTCAGAAGGTTGAAGTAATTCTGATCTAAAGACTTTTTCCCCCCCTCTCTATAAAAAGGGCATGATATCATCTGTTAAGAAAAAAGAGCAAAAACGCAGAGATCTGAGGAGAATAAAATGATTTGGATGGTCTTTGTGTAAGAATAAGATGAACTAAGAAAATCTATTTCCAAATGTCATCATTTTCTCCCCTCTCTTCTCTTCTCTTCCCCTCCAAAAGGGAAAGGAAAATACAGCTACTTCTATTTTAGTAGAGATTCACATAATCTACCAGAGACCATAAATTCCTTAAAAGTAGATTATCCAATTTAATCTATATCCTCTACACCTCATACAGCTACTGGCATATTTTAGACACTGTTAGCTAAATTCAATTCTATAAGCTATAATTTAAAAAAAAATAATCCATGATTTCCTAAGTAATAAATGGAATGAGTTCTAAAAAATTACACTGAAATGCAAAATGCTAAAGAGATAAATGATAAATCAGGGTGAAATTTGTACTTCTTCAATCAATATCTTTTTTTCATATCTAGAAGAGACATTCCATTTAAGAGATTAAAGAAAAACCCTTATAAAGATTCTGTTTTCTTAAAGATCATATTCTGTTAGCTAAAGTCAGAACTAAAACTAGGTTGATTCTGCATCCCATGCTCTGGTTGGCCACTTAAAAAGAATAATCAACAGGCTAATTATCTTGAACCAGCTGGGTTTGAACTGAGATACTACATTGGAAAATAATTCCATTTAAGGCTTTAAAAGAGAAAATAGGAATAACCTTAGGAAGAATATGGGCTTCTAATCTTGGCTCATCCAATTACTAGTAGATTGGTAAATTTACTTAACCTCTTCGAATCTCTGTCTCTTCATCTGTAAAATGGGAAAAATGGGCTTGCTATGAGAAGTAAATGAAGGAACTGACTGGGATTATAAGCACCCAATATATGCTAGTTATCATCTTTCATTAAAATATATAATTAGTGCCCAAGAATAAGCAAATGAATCAGGTAGTCTTGAAAATGTGAGAAATTAAAAGGAGTAAGTTTAATAAAAGCTATACTAAACATATTTACAATATTATATAACTGACCTTTTTACAGTTATATAACATTGTAATACTGATGTGAAACATTTACATATTAGAAATGAAATGATAAAATTTTTTCAGGCTAATGAACATTTTGTAGATACTTTTTTGCAAAATATATTTTTTTCAACTGCTAGGAGACCTTTTTTCATCTTACTATCTATGATTTCACTTTATTTTATTTTTTTAAATATATATTTTATTGATTTTTAACGGAGAGGCAGGGAGAGGGATAGAGCATTAGAAACATCAATGAGAGAGAAACATTGATCAGCTGCCTCCTGCACAGCCCTGACTAGGGATGTGCCCGCAACCAAGGTACATGCCTTTGACCAGAATTGAACCTAGAACCTCTCAATCTGCAGGCCGATGCCCTATCCACTGAGCCAAACCAGTCAGAGCTGATTTAACTTTAGTATACATATATAATACATGTAAATACATAATGTAATTATATATACCATATTATATATATGTATATATATTCATATTGGAATCTAAGTAGCCCAGCAAGGTGGGTATTGCTGTTCCTATTTTATAGTTGAGAAGATAGAGGTTTTTCTGAATAATCTATTCAGAAATACATGCTCTCTAGAGCAACCCCATCCATTTTTTGTTTTGTTTACTTTAGCATAAGCCCAACATACCAGGGTCCAAAAATTCAATTGCACAAATTGAGAAATTAATGAAAAATAGATTTCAGATAGTCCATAATGGTATGTCTGTCTCTGTCTCTGTCTCTCTCTCTCTCTTGCACACACACACACACACACACACACACACAAAATCAATCACAAAAGAAAACATAATAATACCTACACTGCATATAAAACAAAATACACACTGAATTAACAATAGAGCATTATCTAACCAAAGCAAGCCACCTGCCAAGGACACTAGTTTTTAACTTCCCATTTTAGAACAAAGGGTTAAGGGCGGATAGAAGCCAACTGACAATCACATGACATCCTAATTCCTATTATTATAGGATGCATTATCATAGGCTTTTATTATAATACAATACTTCTAAGCTGATGATTCACATCTTTATTTTCAGCTCCGAGCCTTGAGTTTCAGATTCAAATATTTCTCAGATGGCTTTTCTGGTGTGTTCATCTCAATTTACCAGTATCTACCCAGAAAACTGGCATCATAATTGATGGTCTTTTCTTCGAGTCAATTCACTGGCAAGGTCTGACTATTTTCCCTTCTGTATTCTTTGAATCCAACTCTTACTGTGTATCAGGCAATTCAAGCCCAAGCATCTCTGAAAGGACAGCTAATATGGAATCTCTAGATGCCTGATCCCTCGCCCCCGAATACAGATAACACTGGTTATCTAAAACGCACAGGTGACCAAGTAGTCCTTTTCTTAAATCTCTTCAGCAGGGCAAACAGAATCAAACAATAAATGCCAACTGTTAGTAATAAGACTGGTACTTTATTTTACCAATTCTCTCTGCCTAGACATAGCCCGTACTCTTTTCATGTTAATCCTCACCCGAGGATATTTTCTCCCCATTGATTTTTTTTAGAGAGAGTGGAAGGGAGGGAGGGAGAAGTGAAGAGAGACAGAGAAAAACATCAATGTGAGAGAGACACGTTGATTGGTTGCCTCCACACACACCCCAATCGAACCTGCAACCTAGGTACATGCACTTGACAAGGAATGGAACCCCAGACTCACAGCCTTTCAATACGCAGCCAATGCTATAACCATTGAGCACACTTGCCAGGGCGCCTGTATTCATCTTTAAATTAATTGCTGATACTTACATTCCCCAACTCAACTGCTCCAGAAACCTTTCCTACAATTCCTATTCTCTATGCCTTCACAATATCCTGTGCACAACACTTAAAAAATATAACACATCATCTCCCTTCTAGACTGTAAAGATTTTCACAATCATGGCCCATATCGTATTTTTTAGTTTGTCTCTCCATTTTGCACAGTCTATCAGAGTAGGCACTCATTGAATGCTACCAGATGTTTGAACTATACTGATAGTATTAAACTAGGTCTCAATACCTTCTTTCCACTATACTTTTCTGACTCCTGCTTGGCTCTTTGTTAATAAAGCCTAAGTCAAAATAAACGCAATATCTACTATCTCAAATATCTTCCAGATTTTTCCATTGTATACAATTAAATGTGAGTTTTACATTTTAAGCACTGATGAATTAGAAATACTTTAAACAATAAACTTTTTGTATCACATTAGTAAAAATATTATAAAAGAAGAGCAGTAACTCAAGAAATTCAAGTAACTGTAGAAAAAAATCATAGTAATTTAAAGTTTGGGAAGAAAATAAATTATTTACTACCATAAAAAATATCAGAAAAATAAAACACTAAGTTCCCAATAAAGAACCTTAATCAAATGTCTTACAAAATTCTATTTGGAATGCAGATTGTTATTTACAAAACAGAATAGAAATTAATATGCAACCAATAACCAAAGTAAATGGTTTGAGGGGAAAAAATGCATTTGAAGCTGATGAAAAGAATGCATAAATCAATGAGTTAATGAACTCCAAATGATTTATGAATGTAATAAAAACGTGGTTCAATCGGTAATGTGTTATAAAATGCCAAAAATAGATAGCCAAAGGGTTAAAAACAGGATTAAAAAGTTCAAGTACACAATAAATAAGAAGTTCTTCCTCTATCTTATTTCTGATATTAAAAACAAATGCAATCCTTAAACAAACAGATGTCATCAATATGCAGATACTAACACTAGAAGACAGTCATTAAAAAGTAATCCCACTTCTGCATATCCATACAGAGCACTGCCTCTGCCACTCCACCGAACTTCCACCAAAAACAACCCAGTAAGCAACGTACCTACACAAAAGCTGGCTCTCTTCGCGATTCGAAACACAATGCAATCATTCTTTTTGGCAGTTCCTCAAGATCATATTGTTTCAGCGCACCCCGTTTAGTGGCGGTCTCATTTGAGAATACTACGCATGTCTTTTCAAAGTCTTTATTACAATTTAGGTTTTGAATCTACTTATCATGAAAGGAAACCTACTCCGTGAGCGCCATTTCTACAGAAGCTGTATTCTTCTAACATTTTAACAGTGCTTCGCTATTTCTCCTGTTTTACATATATCCACTCTTTTCATCCTTAACCTACCTCTAGGTGGTCATATTTCAATAACGAAAACTGAGGTCCTGAGCCTCATGAAGCTAGAATTCCACCTAGGCAGTCTGGTTTTCTTCATAAATCCTCTTCCATGAATTTTACATCTTAACTTCCATGCTTCCTTCTTCACCTTTTCCTCACCACTCATTCCTTATACCACCTTCAATATTCTATCGGAGCTAACAATTCTGTTTCCGTTTCATTTGTCGATTAACAGAAGCTTCCAAAAAAAACCCCAAAAACCCTTCTGAGTCAGGGATAAACCATTTTCTACATTTACGAACAAGGAGGTCTTTAATCCCGGAATCTCCCTACATCAAATATCCTTCTTTACACAGATATCCAGGGAGAGACGGCATTCGCACTACCCCCGCTTCAAACACGCTGTTCCAAAAGATTGATTTTACAGGCGCATTTCCGGTTTTTCCTTTTTTTTCTCTTTCCTTTCTCTCCAAATAAAGCTGTGATTCGAAAATTTAAAATATTCGATTCCCTTATTCTAGGAGAAAAAAAAAATTCCGTTCTGAATGGATAGACTCCTATCAATGACATAACTCTATCCTCACTCTTAAATTATGGTTATTTCCACGGAAGGTCCAGCGCCCCCTGGGTTGCACTTGCCGCGCAGATCGCTGCCTTTTTTTTTTTTTTTTCTCTCCTGCGAGTGCGCGCGAGAACCTTCCAGAAGGGTTTGCTCACACGGGCGCGTCGGCCATGTTGGTTTTCCTCTCCCGTGGAGCTCTATTCCGTCCGCCTAGGAGGTCGGAGAGGCCGGCCGGGGCAGAGGCTGCCCGCGTTAGGCTCCGCGGAGGGTTTGGTCGCCGAGAAGGACGCGCTCTGAGGGCTCTAACCTCCAGGGAGCCGGCGCGGGAGGCGGGGCTCCCCCCCGCGGGGCGCGCCCCTCGGGGCCGCGCTGACAGGAAACGACGGCCGACTCGACATCCTGCCGAGGGACGGGCGTGTCCGGGGACGTGGGAGGCCCGTACTTACCAGGGCGAGGCGCTGCCTGGCTTCTCGTCGGCGGCTTTCAGGAAGACTCCCTGGAGGTTATGGGACATTTTACTGGTGGGGGGGGGGAGGGGCCCGCGCATCCAGGAGGGGGCGGTGTGGGCCTGGGGTCCCCTCAGGGGCGGAACCAGAGCGAGATGGGGCGGCAGTTGCCCCGGAGCGACTCGGAAGGGGTTCGAAGCTGAGAGGAGGGAGGACAACGGCGAGCTCTCCACAGGGTGTAGCTCCGAACCTCCGAGGGAGGCGGCGCGGCCACCGGAAGCCGGAAGAGTGGGCGCCGAGGACAGAGACGGCCGAGCCCTAAGCTCAGAAAGGACCAGCCCGAGTCCCCGCCCCCCGAGGCTTACCCTTCGCTCCGCAGCCTCTCGGCGTCGGCGCGGGAGGTGTGGCCTGAGTGGCACCGCCCCTCGCAGAGCCGGGTCCCCGCGAAAGGCCGCGCCCACCGCAGCCGCCAGCCCTAGGAGAGCTCTGCCGGCGTCTCCGGGGACGTCATATCCGGTCGCCAACGTGATTGGCTGGCAGAAGCTCCGCCTTTGTAACGCGATCCAATCGCAAGTGACGTTTGGTATCTCTTCTTCCGGAGCAAGGAATGAATCGCCAAAGAGATGCCTCCAGTTACCTACGCGAATGAAATGTTTCCGGGGTCAATTGTAAATTTTCTGCCTTTGTGTTCGCCGCTAGTGTTGCTTTTCCTCGCCTGCCAGACGCTGGAGGGCTCTTGGAATCGTCACGCGCTGGTGGCGTGAGGGAATTGTAGCCGCGTGACTGCAGCCAGCGCTGTATTATTGCTATTTTTGGAGGATTTATGGGTTATTTCCTCTGTCTTGAAGCTTTGCGTCTACACTTAACCTAATCACTGCACGCCCATGCCTTGGTCAAAATTATTTGTCATATAGTAACTCATTCTCAAAGTTTCATTTCCCATATAATTGGAGTTTTTTTGTTTTGTTTTGTTTTCTTGTGGGTTTTTTGCATCTTTATTTGGATCTCCATGGAAAAGCTTTTCAGAAGTCTCTTGATTCCTGCCATTTAATCACATATCCAAGAAAGGTTCAGTCTTTGGTTTAAGGCAGTGGTCGGCAAACTCATTAGTCAACAGAGCCAAATATCAGCATTACAACGATTGAAATTTCTTTTGAGAGCCAAATGTGCTAAACTTAAACTTCTTCTAATGCCACTTCTTCAAAACAGACTCTCCCGGGCTGTGGTATTTTGTGGAAGAGCCACACTCATGGGGCCAAAGAGCCGCATGTGGCTCGCAAGCCACAGTTTTCTGACCATGGGTTTAAGGGTCGGACAGTAGTTCAGCTGGGGCTAGAAGGAGGTTGTGGGAAAGTGGTTTAAAGATCCAGTTTTATTAGGTACAGACTGGACCTATTTAAACTGACTATTTCAATTTAGGAGACTGATATAAGGTAGCCAATTTTAAAGTTTATGTTGATCTTTAAACATGTTGGCTACTCATAACATAATTCCTTAGCGATCTAATACTGATTAAAGGACTTTGTGTCTTGATACATTAACACGTTAAGCGCCAAACCTGTTTTGTCTTCCTTTACCCCGAGATACCTGATTTCACGAATATGCTGGTGGCTGGAGATTGTAGCGATCCAAATGGAAAGTATAGTGTCAGTCACCGGTGACTGACAATGCACTTAATGTGTTAACAGAAAGTATGCCCTCGTTGGTTTGTCTCAGTGGATACAGCATCCACTGCTGGCAGACTGAAGGGTCCTGGGTTTGATTCCAATCAAGGGCAGATAGGTTGGTTGTAGGCTTGACCCCCACCCCTGTTGGGGGTGTGTGGAAGGCAACCAGTCAGTGTGCCTCTCATGTTGATGTTTCTCTCTCCCTCCCTTCTACTCTAAAAATCAATGGGAAAATATCCTGCCCTAGCGAGTTTGGCTCAGTGGATAGAGCATCAGCCTGCAGTCTGAAGGGTCCCAGGTTCAATTTCAGTCAAGGGAATGTGCCTGGGTTGTGGGCTCCTTCCCCAGAATGGAGTGTGCAGGAAGCAGCTGATCAATGATTCTCTCTCATCGATGTTTCTGTCTCTCTCTTCTGCTCTAAAATCAATCAATATATATATATATATATATATATATATATATATATATATATATATATATGAAAAATATCATTGGGTGAGGATTCACAGCAACAACAAAAACACACCAGAAAGTAATACTTTCTAACTAGTCTTCTCTCCTTATTAAGGGTTAATTTCAATTATATAGAATCCTCTGTGTGTAACTGGCATTTATCTTTCAGTCAAATAGCTCCTATACTAAAAAGGGAGTGGGTGGTGAGCCCTAATACTGTCTTATTTTTTATCATCCTCTTATCTGTGAAAGCAAAATTAAAAGTTACCCATTTTTGCTTGTTTCATTCTCTTTACTATTTATTTCTTTTTAATTTTTTAAATTTCTTTTTAAAAAGAATGTTTTTCTTGATTTTTAGAGAGAGAGGAAGGAAGGGGGACAGAGAGATAGAAACATGGATGAGAGCAAAACCTCATCAATTTGAAACCGGTTTGGCTCAGTGGATAAAGCATTGGTCTGCGGACTGAGGGTTCCGGGGTTCGATTCTGGTCAAGGGCAAATACATTGGTTGCGGGCATATCTTCGGTTGGGGGGGTGGTTGTAGGAGGCAGCTAGTCAATGTTTCTCACTCATCGATGTTTCTAGCTCTCTATTCCTCTCCCTTTCTCTCAGTAAAAAGCCTCATCAATCAGCTACCTCCTGCATGCCCCCTACTGGGGATATGCCCCCTACTGGGGATACGCCTCCTTCTGGGGATTGAGCCTGAAACTTGGAAATAGAAACAGCCACGTCTGATTCATGGGTGGATGCTCAATCACTGAGCACACCAGCTGGGCTTACCATTTATTTCCCACCTTTTGCAGTTTGGCTTCTCATGTCCCCCATCACTTCCTATAAATAAAACTCATTGTCAGAATTGGGTTCTCTGGGAAGCAAACTCTTGCAATGGAGTTAAGTATGCAGGAAGTTTATTAGGAATCAGAATCCGTGGAGGAGAAGGAGAGGAGGCAAAAATGGGCAGAGGTATAAGTTAGGTTGTAATGCCCAGTCTTAACAATGCCATAGCCTAACCCACATTTCTAAAACTGGAGTAAACGTTCTTGTTTTTAATTTATTTTTTTGAGAGAGAGGAAGGGAAAAATAAATAATAATGTGAGAAACATCAATCAGCTGCCTTCCTAGAATGCATCCTGACCCAGGGGTCAAACCCACAACCTAGGTTCTGACCAGGATCAAACCCGACAGCTTTTGAGGTATGGCAGTGGTCGACAAACTCATTGGTCAACAGAGCCAAATAGCAACAGTACAACGATTGAAATTTCTTTCTTTTTTTAATTTTTAAATTGTATTTTCTTTTTTTATTATTCATTTACTTATTTTTACATATTTTATTGATTTTTTTGCCCCCCTCCCTCCCTCCCACACATCCCCTCCCTCCCCAGAGTTTTATGTCCATTGGTTGTATACTTATATGCATGTATACAAGTCCTTTGGTTGATCTATTATCTCCCCCAGATCTTCCTTCCCTCCCCACTGTAATTTGACAGTCTGCCTGTTGCTTTACTTTCTCTATATCTGTCTCTTGGTTCATCAGTTCATAATGATCTTTATCATCCACCAATGAGTGAGGTCATGTGGTATTTCTCCTTCATTGATTGGCTTATTTCACTCAGCATGATGTTCTCCAATTCCATCCAGGTTGCTGCAAATGATAAGAATTCCTTCTTTTTTATGGCAGCATAGTATTCCATTGTGTAGATGTACCATAGTTTTTTAATCCAATCATCTGCTGACGGGCATCTAGGCTGTTTCCAAATTCTGGCTATTGTAGATTGTGCTGCTATGAACATAGGGGTGCAAATATCCTTTCTGATTGGTGTTTCTAGTTTCTTGGGATATATTCCTAGAAATGGGATTACTGGGTCAAATGGGAGTTCCATTTTCAGTTTTTTGAGGAAACTCCACACTGTTCTCCACAGTGGTTGCACCAGTTTGCATTCCCACCAGCAGTGCACGAGGGTGCCTTTTTCTCCTCAACCTTACCAACACTGTCGTTTGTTGATTTGTTGATGTTGGCCATTCTGACAGGTGTGAGATGGTACCGCATTGTTGTTTTGATTTGCACCTCTTGGACAATTAGTGACTTTAAGCATGTTTTCATGTGCCTTTTTGCCTTCCTTCTGTCTTCTTTTGAAAATATTCTATTTAGGTCCATTGAAATTTCTTTTGAGAGCCGAAAACCGGCTTCTGCACATGGGCCACAAAGTTTCAATGACACTGTGCCTGCGCGCCCCCATGTGGTATTTTGTGGAAGAGCCACACTCAAGGGTCCAAAGAGCCCCAGGTGGCTTGTGGGTCGCCATTTATTTGCCCACCACTGGTGTATGGGATGATGAACTTAGCCACTTAGCCAGGGCCTGAAGTAAACTTTCCAACTGTTTCCCAGTGGGGATTCAGGTTTTTCCAAGGAAGGTTGTAGGAACTTAGGCACTGAGCATCTCTTTAACCAAGGCAACTATTCAAGTAGGCTGATAACTGAGGCAATTCTGCTGGCAGCACTCCAGCAAATGGTGGGATAAGATCATTCCTGAAAGGAGGTCAGGGGAATGCATCACAGCATCCACTGTACTCATGAAATCACTCATCCCAGCGGTTGCAATTAATATTTATCTCCCATCCATTCAAATCTTCCCTTGGTAGCACTTTTAATTATTCGTTTACTCTTGATGCTGTTGGCAATATATTTTGTTGGGTTTCCTCCTATTTTTAAATTTATATATATATATATTTCATAGAGAGGAAGAGAGAAAAAGAGGAAGAGAAAAATAGAAAAATCAATGGTGAAAGAGTCATTGATCAGCTGCCTCCTGCACGCCCCCTCCTGGGCATGTGCCCTGACCAGGAATTTCTGCCTCCTGGTTTATGGGTTAACACTCAGCCACTGAGCCACACTTACTGGGCTCCTCTTATCTTTTTGTCTATTCCTAATCAGACTCTTTTGAGGATTATTCCTCCCTCCTCAGCCATTAAATAAGAAAGTTCCTTAGATACTGTTTTTTGATTTGAGTATTTTTTAAAATATAATCTTTAATATATATATATATATATATATATATATATATATATATATGTGTGTGTGTGTGTGTGTGTGTGTGTGTGTGTATATATATATATATATATATATATATATATATATATATATATTATTGATTTTTCACAGAGAGGAAGAGAGAAGGATAGAGAGCTAGAAACATTGATGAGAGAGAAACATCGACCAGCTGCCTCCTGCACACCCCCCACCGGGGATGTGCCCACAACCAAGGTACATGCCCTTGACCGGAATCGAACCTGGGACCTTTCAGTCTGCAGGCTGACGCTCTATCCACTGAGCCAAACCAGTTTTGAATATTTTTCTTTTTTTAAAAAAATAAATCTTTAGCCGAAACCGGTTTGGCTCAGTGAATAGAGCATCGGCCTGCAGACTGAAGGGTCCCGGGTTCGATTCCAGTCGGGGGCATGTACCTTGGTTGCGGGCACATCCCTGGGAGGGGGTGTGCAGAAGGCAGCTGATTAGTGTTTCTCTCTCATCGATGTTTCTATTTCTCTATCCCTCTCTCTTCCTTTCTGTAAAAAAAATCAATAAAATATATTTTAAAAAATAAGGAAATCTTTATTGTTCAGATTATTACAGTTGTTCCTCTTTTTCCCCCCAATAGTTCCCCTCCACCCAATTCCCATCCCACCCCATGCACTT